CAAAATCCAAACCATTTTATGACTTTTTCTCATTGGCCATATTGCTGACAAAGATGTATATAATCATGTGATAATTTTAGCCTACAGGACAGGGGGCTGATTGGGCAAAAACCCCATTCAATCCCCTACCCAAAATCATAAATTGGTTAGTATCAGAGAAACAGAGAATTTAGGAAAATGATTATACAAACAAACACTATTTTACAACTTTCCTCTTAACATCAGAGCCGAATGCAATTTCAGGGCCACCAACCCTGCTCTGGATTGTGACCTCTGTGCTTGAAACAAGTTGCAGATTCTTGTTGCTTTGATGGATCTGGATATTTACATGGCACTACAATTCATCAGCAGAGTTGCGACTTGGTCACAGAGCCATCCTTGCCCTAGAGGTGGGATCGTTGCAGGCAAACTTTCGGCTAGCATACCGGCGGTCTTCTCTGGTCTGGGAAGATTAGTGAAAGTGTCATTGACGATTGATGTCTCAGTAAACTCCAAAGCCACGCAATACCCTTGGAATTCTGTTACATCATTGTATCATCGATCAATCAGGTCAGATTAGCCTTGTGTACACAAGGAACGTGTGAGAATGACTGACTGTAAAGTGTTCAAGGTAGCGTGCGTGCTTCAACGTCTGCTAATTTCTGATAATCAAACATTGCATATTTGAAATGTTTCTTTTTAAACAATGTATTGCCTTGACATCTTGTAATTATATATTAATAATAGTATTATTATTACAATGATGCAAAGCAAAATATTATCATTATCAATGAAAATCTTGTAATTACCCAGCAAGATCTGCTCCGCGTTTTGATTTCCAATTAAAATATTTATAAGCTAAAATAAAAGACACCTCATACATATCAATACAAATAAAAAAAAGTACCTCTAGTTAGTTATTAACACGTTTTCTTTAGGAGACCCGAACCAAACCAAACAACAACACTCACGTTTTGTCACCTTGGACACTGTCAAAAAATAAATTGTTTTTTGTTTTTCCAAAAAAAAAAATCAATAAATACGCATCTGTCCTCCCAAAAAAAAAAAACCAATAGGATAAATAATTAGTGTGTACGCGTCGATCAAATCACAAACTTCTTTTAAACATGCCCAAAGAAAATAAAAAGGAAGCAAAAGTAACAATCAAGAAAACATCGCTGGGTAAGTGTTTTAAGGTTGGTGGTAGTTATCGCCCGCCACTCGTCGTCGTTACTCTAGTTTAAAGTAAGTTTAATTTGTTTATAGATCCTTTATTCAAAATGTTATTTATATTTTCTTCTAAAATAATTAATATTTATTTTAAAAATTTTTTTAAAGATATATATATTCAGAAACCATCAATTTAGATAATTTAGATACATCTGAAACTATTGAACTTCTTGAAGCATCTGATGAATTAGATTTTAAAACTACAGATTATATACAAAATCATCTAATTGATTTAACTTTGGAGAGAGAAGAATGGATCAAAAATAATTTTACTTATTTTTATCAAATATCATTAAGACATCAATCATTTAATTTGCTTAATGATTTCCTTGAAACATTGGTTATGAATAATCCAGAATTACTTCTAAAGTTCAATGATTCCAAAAATGTTGAAAAGCCAATATTAATATCATATTAAACAATGATGATCTTGCAATAAAGGAGATTGATTTTTGGGATTGCATAATCCAATGGGGAATTGGAAATTTGGAAAATTTGGAAAGAAAAAATATTAAAGAATGGAATAAAAATGATTTTAAGGAGTTGAAATTTTTACTAGAAGATATTGTTTCTTTAATTAGATATAAGGATATCTCTAGTGATGATTTTTTTACAAAATTGTACCATATCAAAAATTCTTTCCTAAGAATTTATGGAATGACCTTTTATGTTATCATTTAGTCCATAATCAAAACCCGATTTTAAATTTATTACCATCAAGAAATTCACCAAAGATGCTAGAATCAACAACAATCAATCCAGAACTTACTTTGCTTTTTGCAAGTTGGATTGATATAAAAAGCTCACCATACAATTTATTCAGTGAAGTTAAATATAAATTCAAACTTTTATATCATAGTAGTAGAGATGATTTAAATTCAATCATATTTAATGATAAATGTAACAAAATCAGCAAGTCTCTTGTAGTTGCTAAAATACAATCAGATCTATTAGTAAATTCAGATCAATTAGTTGGTGGCTATAACCCACTTGATTGGAATGGAGGTGGTTATAAAAATACAGACAAAAGTTTTATTTTTAATATTTGTAATATAAATGATATTAGTATATCACTTAAAATAACAAATGGGATATTATAAAGTTGTT